AATTGGTACCCTTCATTGTAGCCTTATTACTACAAGTTATGTTGTACCATCAGCAGTCTAGATGTTCTCTGGTACTGCTAAGTAAATGTAAGAAGAAGACTCTCTAGCAGTACCTGTCACATGTCGAGATGCACATGAATATATTATCCATTTTAATAATCCAATTTTGAAAATAGAGGAAATAACATGTATATCACAAGTAATTTTGCCAGAGGGAGCGGAGCATAAGTGACAGTATTACCCTTAATAACGATTGCTTGGAAGCATCATCAGTAAGATCTCGTAGTGCATTTTGCCTTCTCTTCACCAACTCTAGACACTCGCAATCTTCATTGGTAGAAACCACATTTATCTCTCTCTTCTCCTTTACTACCATCAGACTTGTTTGGTAGCCCACTTTTCTACATTTTCGACCACCACAACCTCCACCCTGTCCATGTCCACTATCTCTCTCTCCTTAGGTGGCTTAGAATAGGTCTTACTCAAATGCCCAACTTCACCAAAGCTATAGCACTTGCGAGTCTCCTCTTGGACATCTATCGTGCCTGAACTCAATACAGCCAGAACTGATCGCACAACCGGAAATCAGTCAGCTCAAAGTACAGCTTCATGCGACTCTCCTGTATCATCGTAGCAATGGCCACATCCGTGAAGGATGTACATTTTACATTAATATAAAAAAAAAATTTGTTTACAGATAATGTACAAAGCTATGCCTCTTAAGCATCAAAAGTATGGGATCTATCTTGCTCAAAAAGCGTAAAAATAGCATCAGAAACAAGCTCAGAAGAAAAAAAAAACTGTGGATCATGGCTTGCTGAGCACAAAAATGAGTAGTCTTGTTACAAAAATGAGGGATAAAATGAAAAAGAACCTGTTTGAAACACAAAAGAAAAGCAATGCCCAAGCTCTTGAGAGGGAGTTGCTTCAAACACTGTTGATCCACGAATCTGCAAAAGAAATCAAGGACATTCATGTTGTCCCCATCAATAATAAGGCCTTAGGTTTCAAATATCCAAAGTTCGATCCATGTTTTGACTGAGAGGGCTACCTCAAGCTCGACCTGGGTGTTGTCCGCATGCTCCTATTGTCATCCCACCTCTTTGATGCAGTGGCCACATTCATCTTGAAAAACCGCACCTATGTCGAAAATGCAAGAGGGTAAAATAGCTGTTGCGGCGGTGGCTAAGGAACGTCCCATTACTCCTGAATTGGGTACCGATGGGCATCAGGGAGCGCCCCCAAGATTGAGGCTACAATAATAGAAGGGATGTCAAAAGGTCTGCCAAGCTTCTTATCAATACAAGCCCACCAGCAATAGTGAATCAAGATGCAAAAGATGTGATGTTGGGCAAGATTGGCTTTATTGGTGATTGCAAGATTGGTGAGGGTCACATCCCAATTGGCAAAGAGGGTAATATATATATTTACTTTTTAAAGAGTTAATAATTATAAATCTATATTTATTCTAGTTTTAAAAATTAAATGTTAACTTAAATTTTAGTATATAAGTTGGATGAACTTTTTTGAAATATACAATATATCTAATTTTATAAATTGATTTTTGCAAAAAGGAGATTTTATAATACAAGTTAAATTTATAAAATAAAATTTTATTGTTGCCCACTTTATTTTGTGATGTCTAGTATGGAATAATAAATAAATAAATCTATATATATATA